AAAACGGCGCTCTCCTCTCCGGGCCCGGTTCCCTGTGATGGCAGTTGGGCGATTGTGATGCCGCCGCGGACGGCCGCTAGTTTCTCCGACCCGCCCGTGATGGCAGCGGCGGTCACGTCACGCCTTGTGTGCGGTGTCATGGGGACGAATTCGCCCCCTCCAGGAGCTGTTGGCAACTTCTGTGTCGCTGGGTTGCGAAGTGGGCTTGTGCCCTCGAGCTGACCAGAGACACAGAAGTTGGTGATCGCCGAACCGCGAAGGCCGCTGTTCGCCTTGCTGAAGAGACCGCCCGAGCCACCGGCAGAAGGGCTGGCCCCATCGATATCCCAGATGCCCCATTGCCCATCGGCAAGAAGGACGAGGATTGCGCGGCCGTGTGCGATCCACTCAGCATCAACAATTGGTTTCCGGGCGGTCGACATTGAGGGGCCTCTGGCAAAGGGGGGGTAGAGCGATAAGAGCCAGGAACCTTGGGTGGGGAAAGGACCATCGGAAGTGTCGTCTGAAGGAAGCGCCGCGGTCGCATAGTCGTAGATGCGCGCAGCATGTGATGATGCGATGGTGAGGAGCTGAGTCTGGTGAGTCGGGTTGAAGGAGATGCTGGTCAGTGGCGAGGAAAGGTATTCTGTCTGGAAGGGTTCAACACGGCTGATGATCCCAGGCTTCGCATCCATCGCAACATCCCAAAGACGCAGCGTGCCGCTGGCTTCCCGAGAGTGCGCGGCAACGATGGCTCGTGTAATTGGGGCCGACTGCACCGCCGCCCGCTCACCCGACCGGCTTCGCGAGCTCTGGTTCGGCTTCACCAGCGTGATGGCAAGCCCTCCGCAGGGTCGGCTCTGGCCTGTCAGCAGAGTGAGGGTCTCTCCCCACACGCCCGTGCCTGCGTTGCCCGCCAAAAGACTCTGGCGCAGTTCTGGGCGCGCCTTGCTCTCGTACGAAGGCGGTGTCAATGGTAGGGTGACCAGGTACACGTCAGCAGTCGCGCATGTTACGGCGAAGATCACCTTGCTCTTCAGGATCTTGGCACCGTTCCAGGCGGCATCTTCGGCGTGACATGGTGGCATCGGGAGAACGGCAACATGAAGCGCAGCAGTGCCGAGTGCAAGGTCGAGGGTTTGGACGACTTCTGGAACGTCGGAGACATTCGCAGTCGGATTTTCCTCAAACTCCGGCCTGTCGACGAAAGTTCCAGAGGCAGGTGTCTCTTCGTCCGAATCGATAACCATGACGGCATCTTCGTTATTCGCGCCATTGCGCTTCTCCTTGTTCAAGTGTTTTGGTGGCTTCAACCTTCGGCCGCCCCGCCAGACGACTGTGACACCATTCTCGTGGCCGTAGATCAGGATGGTCGCTCCCTGGGGCGACTGGACGGGGTATGTCTTGATATGGTGTATCCGGCGGGAAAGAGTGTATCTAGAGCAACAATAACCTACGGTCAGATAAAAACAATAAAACGAAGGGCTTCTGGCGTACGTGTGCTGTGTGTTCTGCGGCGTCCGCCGCGTTCTGGGAACGGGCTGCATGGCCTCAAACAGGCGACGAGTCAAGGTCTGTTTGAGTCGTTGTACTCTCGGAGTCTCGCCGGGAGGTGTTCTCTTGCAGCAACAGTATTAAGAGTGGTCTCAATTCCTGCGTTGCTGCAATTTCGTCTTGATTCAGCGAAGGAAGTCGGTCGTGATGGTGCCAATTGTGATGTCGTAGCTTCACAAAATTCGCCGCGTTCAAGCAACAGCAAGAGGGACGCGAAGGAGCTTGGGCCACCCACCACAACGTCGAACTGGCTGTGGGTACCAAGACAGTGCCAGTTCTGTGTCAATTGACAGGACGCACTGTGACTTCCAAACCTGCCTGTGTGTCCTCCTTTTTCTCCGGTCTGGCACAAAACACTCGTTTTACTCAACCATCAAAATCCTTGGATATCCTGTTTGAAACCGCAACAGACCGATACACTCTATATGTCATTTTCCAAGTCTTTATCCAGACATCATCTGCCCGACTTCTCAATCGTCAATGACTCAACAGACTCAAGCTCTCAACACAGCACCCCCAGCTCTCTGCTCTCGGACTTCGTTCGGCCTGCCCTTCCCTCATCAGCGAATCCCATGAGGACATGAAAGATTTATGGCTCGTGTCTGAACTTGTTCCGGTACCCTTGTTTCCCTGAATTCAGCTGTATGTGGGCGTTTGACCCGCGGATCCCGACGATTGGCCTTGATAAACGGCGCTTGAGGACCCTTTTCCATCACCCTGGTGCGTGAATCATGATACACAATGTCGAATTTTCTGCGGTCTTTGTCGTTATAGATTGCTCGCACAGCGCCTGGGTTTCCACCCCCCCTCAACCTCTTCCGTTCTTAGTTGGAAACATCGGGAACTCGACCCAAGGCCATAGTGCCTTAAGCTTGTAAACCTTCTTAGAGTGCTCAATCCCGCAATGCCGCGTGGGATATTGGGGTATGAAGAACCCAGGCAATTCTTGCTTCTTGTTCTTTGACTTGGAGCAGTCGGAATGTGCTTCCTGATATCATGCCCCGATATCGTGAACAGAGTCAGGTTGTTGAAGAGGATGTTTAGCTCATGGCAGGAGTAATGCGCAACGATAGATCAACTAATATTTTGAACATATAGAACCGGTTACGGGATGCATACCACAGAGCAAATTGAGACGACATCATTGTTCTCTCGACATACTGACAAACTCAAGCATTGGTGCAAGAGCTAAAATTCAGGCTTTCGAACCCGCTGTCGGTTAAAAAGACACCGACATTTGAGTTGTCTACCACTGATGCTTCGGGCTTTGAGAGTAGTTCGTCTTGAGACTGTGAGGGGCATGCGAAGGTGAATTTTGACTTTCCGAAACAAGCTGGTGATTCGAGCCTTTAAACTGTTTACGCTCCCCCCTCCTTGGGGAGCTTTCGAAACATAGTAACAACTGTGCTTTAGAATTTCGCATAAAAAGTGACTGTTATGCTGGGCGGAATGGAATCAGAGCACAATATTGCCCTTCTATACGGGCTTTCGTCACACCATCAACATAGGCTGGCTGAGGTATCTTCCCAATCTTATCTGCAGGCCAATGATCCCAGCATTCAAGGACTCGATCTCTCACCCTTTGTGGATAATCCGAACGTCCATTTCCTCGAGGCCCTGTATCAGGCCTTTTACCGTGCACCGCCTTTAGACAAGAGGTCTGTTCTTCCTTCGGTGTCACATCAGATTTAGGTATCATGGCATCATTTCTCTTTGTTCGAGTTGATCTGAGCTTTCGAACGGAACAGAGAGCTATGCCCTTTCAACTTTGTTTTTGAAGTCGGCCATCGCGAGTTAAGGTGTACTTGTATTCCGGTGAGACTCGATCTATTTTGAGATGCGCTTAATCTACCTAGATACAGCTAGTTACAAGTCCGCAAAAGCAATGTAGGAAATACCAGGTATCGCGATACATTGGAAACACAGAGCAAATACCCTCTTCTCTTGAGAGGGACGTGCAAGCTTGGTGGTTCAGGTGGATCATATTCTCTTTCTTCAAGAGGGGAAGAATGAGGGGGTGCGGACATTGCAGCTAAAGCAGCCGTCCCCGAGGCCCTAGGCCACGTGACTACTTCCCCGGTAATAAACCCCCCCTGTTGCGTCGTCCTGCCCGGACTGGACTCTGGCGTAGATATTCCAACAAGCAACAATATCGGAAAGCTACTAGCCGCTCTCAACCTATAAAACTTATCAACAATTCTCTAGACAATACCTTAAACTAGGGCCGTTGCCACATTTTCTGCCTCGCTAAGTCTCCCACCTTAAACAACGTCTTTCGTGACACGACGAAGAATCCAAAACCTTAACCAGCTGCGGAGACTTATACTGCGTCATTTCTATAAAACTTGCGTTCTGCGAGCGAAAACGGAACCTTCTCTCTCCTCGTTCCATCTGACAACTCGACCATTTCCTTTTCCGTGGATCATGATACACAACGTCATATCTACTTCTTTGAACCGCATGCTTGGAATAAATGACTTTGCGGGTCCCGGCTTTTTGTTCTTTCAAAATCGAGAGGTAGAGGACTGGGTATTCATTCCAGGGACCATGTGGACTGAGCTTGCCGACCGTCGTTGGGCATGTTCCAACTGCCATTCTACGGTCTGTGCTGAGATACGTTTCAAGGGGTTTTTTGTGTTGAGTCCGTGGCAGAGATAGAACTGGTCTTTGTCAGCCAAGAAGATGTTGATGTTCAGACCTGAAGGCAAAGCGAACAAGGAAATTACAAACCACTCTTTTCTCCTCGGGCGTCTCTCTGAACTTGTTGTATGATACTTTGAGATGCAGCGGCCATTTGTTTTCATCGCTTTCAAGGGCTACTTTGCTCCATGGTCTGTCTTTTGTTTTCTCATTTCCACTATTGTCTGTAGGAGATGGAGGACCGCCCATTATGCGCATAAAACTCTTTGTGGGAGAATCGAGGAGTAAAATTCATTAATATTAAGCATTGTTTGGGGCGGCTTAACATGTATTTAACCTACTATCCGTTTCGTATCTTCCAGTTGCCGTCAGCTTTATACATTGCTAACACGGAGCCCCTGAGACTCTGAGTTGTCTGCCATACGCAACATGTCTTCTAGCTTGACCGTAAACAACAAAAGTTATGTCAGTTGCAGCTTCACTGCTCGTCCGTTCCAAAAAGCTTATTGCTCATTACTCTTGGGCCATGAACTCACCAAGTTCGAAGCACAAATTATTATTATTATTCCTACGCCTCGAAGCACAAATTAGGGATATGAACATGAGAACTTTGGTGGTTGCTCTTAAATTGAAGAGAGAACCCCAGTAACTTACATGGTAAGTTTTGGCTTCTGCCTCTTGTTATTGTGTCGTTACATCTCCAATGGACTATCATCCGACGGAGTGAAGTATCAAGAACGGAAGCTCGTTTAACTTGTCCCAGACTTTTGTCCAAATTCTTGGTATAACTCCTAACGACTCTCCACATTTTACCCAAGTACAAGATAGCGTCAGTGGTTTAGTGGTAAAATCCATCGTTGCCATGTGGTAAAATCCATCGTTGCCATCGATGGGCCCCGCGTTCGATTCGCGGCTGACGCATCACTTTTGCTTCAATTTTGATGCAGAAGTGGATATTCGTTGGCAGCGCATGCCACCATCCGAAACACGACAACTCAGCTCCTTCACTAGGTAACACCTGAGTTATTAATGATTCAGCCGGGCTTATCTATGCCTTTTGTTTTATTTTATGAGAGCTGATGATATGCCCTCTCTAACCTCAGCCCCTTTCCTCATGTGGTCAGCATTTTGTCACACCCTCCCCTTCAGAGGCACCAACCCAAACGCCTCCCAAAAATCTCTCGTGTCATAACACCTCCCGAGCGTCTCCATAGACCTTGGCAACGCCCTGACACCCTCCTCCCCTCATCAACTCACCCACCCACTTTACCTGCTCAATCGGCTTCTCTTTGTCCTCCCCTTCCTCCGCCCACCCCGCCAACAAAGCCCACCAGTCATACACAAACCCATCCGTCAGCATCCACCTCTGCCCCCTGCCAGATCTCTCCCACGTCTCATCCCCGCCCTCAACCAGCGCAACCACTGCGCGCGCCACGTCCACTCCATGAATCAGATGCAAACTCTTCTTCCCCTTCACCATCTCCTTCGTCGCCGCCACCCTGTTTCGCCAGTTCTTCGGATCCCGCGCGCCACCCCACAGCCCCGCCAGGTTCAGCACGCACCCGCTTAACGCGAGCAGCTCATCCTCTGCCACGGCACGTGGTTTCGTCTTGTCGTAGGGCGAGTGCCGAGTGATCCAGGGTCTCCGCGGGCCTGCTGGGGATCCGGACCGGGCTGCCAGATCCCTGTGCTGCCGAATTGCACAAACCTGAACCTCCCCTTCCTCCCCTCCCCATTTCCAACCGCACTACTCCCCGAGAGCGATGCGTCTCCCGTACGTCTCCACCAGCAATTTACTCTGCCCCTCGCCCGTCAACGGGAACGTCACCAGCACGTAGCGCGCACGAGGCAAAGATGCGACGGCGGAGCGCGTCTCGTCTGCGGGCGCAGACGGGTCAAACTTAAAAGGGAGGGTGGGGTGGCCTTCGACAGAGCGACCGGAGGTGGTTGTTGCTGCGAAGGAGATGTTGTGGGCGTCGAGGAGTGGGAGGAGGAAGGTGGATGTCCAGCCGGCGCCGAGAATTAGGAGGGTGAGTTCTTCCATGTTTTTTTGGTGAATTGTTTGCTGCATGAGGAATTTGGGTGGTCCGTTGAGAGAGTGAGATGATGGAGAGTGTTGACGAGATGGTGGGAGTGACAAAGTGGATGAAGGCTGGAAGCCGGAAAGTCAGAGTCGAAGGTCCGAGGGTTGGGGAAGGGTTAGGGTTGATCCCCTTTGCCTTAACCCCAGGAGTGTTGACCCAGAATTAATGGACAATTATAGGGAAGAACGCATGGAATATTTGTTTTCGCTGCGCCGCCCCTGATCCTTTGAGTAAGCTTTCGTTTGATAATAATTTTGCGACACGAATTGCTATGCGGACACTTAGACTTAACATAAAGGGCCCAGAGCATGGGACAAGATGCAACGCTCAGAACCGTGTGAGTCAGGAAATTTTAGGCAAGCATCATCATGTTGTCAAATCAGTTCCTATATTTTATTGAACAATAAAAATCAAACATTTCTGTCAACTCTCCGTGTCTTGTTTGGCAATGGCGAGGTCTGGCATTCCCTTGAGTTCGCTTGATGTATCACAGCTTGAGATTCTGGGGAAGCTGTGAGGTCTAGCTCTCTTTTAAGTGTGCCTTAGAGAAAAAAGCCCCAGGCACAGAGATATTGACCGTCAAAGCCGATGGATGCCCATTCGTGTAGTCGAGGCGAAGGCCTTTGCGTTCTGTCTACTGGAACGGGTTCTTCTCCGAAGCCTGGAGATGCGTGGTCTTTCGGGAGCTCCCAGATCCGGTGGGTTTGCTGGACATTGTTGATTTGTGGGTTCGGTGCCTGATTCACTATGTTTCTGGACGAGGTTAGAACGAAGAGTCTGGCTGGGACCGCAAGTGCAGCAAATCACGGATGCAAAACAGTTCTCACAGAATTAAGGTTCAAGTCAGTAATTAGTCAAGTCAGTAACCAAGAGTCAACTCATAGCCATTTGTTCTTCTTTGGCAGTGTAACTTCGAACTCCAGAACCATTGTCCATGCAGCTTGCAGCAAGATACGCCGGAGGTTCTACTCAAGGCCGAGCAACAGGGGCCGACCACGGGCCTTTAGGCCACAGAGGCCGACAGCAGTAGAAGAGGCCGCAGGAGTAATAGCACGCTGGACCGGGGGAACCACCGACACGGACAGGGTAATCGAGGAGGCTTGGAGAGAGAGATGGCTAAAGGGACGAGACGGCCGGGCGACGACGAGACCAGCGGACGACCTCGACCACCAGCAGAAGACTCTATTCAAGGACAAGATTCTTAAGAAGCACGAGGGACTGAGCAAAGTGAAGAGCTCGTTGTTGGTCCTTCCGAACTGGGGACATAGGCCTCTGGGACTTCTTGTTCAAACGGGGAGTCCCAAGTGTGCTGACGCCCTGCTGCGAATGCGGCGAAGGGCGGGAGACTGTTGAACACTTGGTGATGTGGTGTTTGGCTCTACTGCTGACTTGGACGTGGGAGAGAGCAGAAGTCAGGACGCGACGAGACTTTTACTCTGTTCTACAGGGTGCCAGTCCTTCAACTGCTCGGCTGACGAGGAGGATACTGGGCTGGCTGATGGATTCAGGAAGACTGCCGATGTACAGCTTGGCTAGGAAGCTAGAGCTGGAGTAGGCAATCTGACTCCCACCAGTCGGAGGCCAAGAGGCCTTCTCTTTTTGTATTTCGCAGGCTCATTCACTAATTTCTTGCCTTAATCATCGGTATAGGTTTTTCACCCGGCCCGCAAGGGCGCGGTTTTCCTGTATAGTATTAAGCTGAGGGTCCGACATGCCTGCAAGGCACAGCGGTGTAGGAATAATAATAACTTTGAACTCCATTTTCGGATTGAAATTTTTTCATTGTTCAGACCAGGGCACCTGATCTCTTCATTGACCTCAAGAGTCGCAAAGAATACACGAGACGACGACTAACTATGTGCTGATCCAAATCAACATCTCGCTTCGTTTTTCTTTCTCTTCTTGTTACCATTTAAACCCCCTAAATTTGTTACCCAAATTTGCATTGGTATAGTGTTAAAGGTGAACACATGGACTATTCGTTTTCAGAGGTCAAAGCAGCCAACTCCAATGTCAGCCCATGAGTGCTTTGTCTAAAGAGTTTTTAGTAATTTCATGGTTCCCAACTGACAAATGGAACACAAGCTCCAGATCTCGGACCTAACAACCCCCACGTAACTAATTGAATATACTTTATACCATAGGAGAGCTGGGACATAAGGTATAAGAACAGCTTGGGAACCTTTACTCTGATAGCGCCACGGCTGTTACTCAACAAGCGTAAACTCAAACCATTCCGACCCCGGCACAACCTTGGCCGTCCGTCATTATCTTTTGGGCTCGTCACCCCCGCGCTCTGAAAGTACGGCAGCTTTACTACCGTCTCTTTATGCTCTTCCATGCTACCCCACGCCCACCAGTCCACTGCTGTCTCAGACAGCCGGCAGCGGAAAACATCGCCAGGTTCAGAGTCCCCAGGCAGCTCGATGTCAGAGAGATCGTTTAGATAGTTTATCGTAGTCCACGATTCGCCCGGCCGCAGGCTCGCAAAGTGGTTGTCCTGCTTCCCAACGTACACCTCCACGTCAGGTCCGTCGTAGATTGCGTACCTGCATCCGACGTCATAATTGGTGAGTTCGGTGGTTTCCCAATCACCATCCGACCCCTCCCGACGTCTTTGTATTTCGACGAAAGTACGGTCCGAGTCCCAAAGTGGCCAAGAGTGAAAGGTGACGGGACGCGCTGTATCAGAGTCTTCAGAGGCCTGTAGGTTGCCTTCGGTACCAGTTACGCCGTGATAAGTAAACCGCAGCGTCACCGCAATTTTCTCGTAGCCCTTGACGGCTCTCTGGCCCTCCACCGCTACCGTAAAGTACGGTGAACCGGAACTGGCAGTATCAGTCAGTTCCATTCCTTCAAACATAACACAGAGAAAAGAAACAACAACTCACACTCTCCTTATCACCTCAACTTCCTCAGCTAACCAGCCAACCCCCTTGCCCTGCAGACCTCTCTTACTCTCCTCCTCAGTCAACCTCATATGCTCCTCACTTGCCTTCTCAAACCCATTCTCCGCCTCACATGCAACCCTTTCCGGCCACTCGTAAGACCTCGCCGTGAAATTGACCCATGCACCACCAGGCGCCACCAGCCTGGGCAAATACCCAGCTTTCATCTCCCTCCCACCCCATTCCTGCACAGTCCCCACGCCCACCGCCCCACCACCGCCCCTGGAAACAATAGCGTGTACCAATAGTCCTGACCCCTTATTGCGCGGTGGTACTTCTCGGGCAGCAGCGTGGACAGTGTGATCTCTTCCCCTGGGCGGAGCTCCCACGGGAATTTTTCATCTTTAGCTGAGCCTGGGAGGTTCTCGTTACCATGGTCAACTTCGACGCGATCCAGCTCGGCGCCGCGGCTGTCAGGATGGCGCAGCAAGACGAGACCGGAGGACGAGAAGGCGTCGGTGGTTGGGTTCCAGTGGAAGATGCAGGACCGGTCGTCGGTGGCGTTGCCCTTTGCCAGGCGCCGGATAGTGAAGCGGATTGGGTAGGGGAGGGTGAGCGGGAGTTCGATGGCGGCGTGGATTTGGAGGGAGAGATGGGGGGTTTCGGGACTGGCGACGAGTGAGTGGTTGTGTTGTGTTGGGGTTAGTGTTGGTGAGTGGGGTGCTTACAGCATGTGTTTCTTCTCGAACCTTATGAAGGGGAAAAGATCTGGGCGGTTGTTTTCCATGATGAGTTGGCGGCGGTAACTGGAACGAGTTACTGTCAGAAACAATGTGAGGTGGATGAAGACTACAGAGGGCTGGAGTTGGATGTGAGGGCTGGTCTGGAAATGGTGGGCTCAACGGCAAAATGTAGTGAGCGTGTTGGTGTTGTGGTGTTTAGTAAATAT